CACTTAGGGATCCCAATAATTCTGACATTGGAATGTTTCATGGTGTCATTTATTTCTCTAATTCTGTTTTCATGGATTTTAAGCTGTTTGTTTCAGGCCTCCTCCTGCTCCTTCTTTTCTATTAGTGATCTAGATCTTTTCTAGATTGCTAATTCGTTCTTCTGCTTCATTTATCCTACCTGTTAGAGTATCTGGATTAGATTGTATCTCATTGATAGCATTTTTAATTTCTGTCAGATATGCTCTCACTTCTTCCCTTCATCTATGTTGCCATTCATAGTGTCTCCAGCCTGACTATGGTCTACCCTGAAGTGTATCTCTGACATATTGCGTGGATCCATATCCACTAGATCTGCTGGAGAGGCCATTGTCTCTGGTTCTTTCTTTGTTGGGGGTTCCTCTTCATCATTCTGTTGAATTGTGGTTGAGGAGATGTACAGCTGAAAATATCAACCACTATCTGGGCAAGGTGCACTCCCTTGACTGATGGTCCTCTGCCCCCATAGAGATCCAAATGTGTGTAATCTTACATCTCTGACTGGTTTCATGGGTGTTGCCATGTTCCTTTGTTATCTTTGTTTAAGCAATCAATTATCTTTTAAGGAGATTTAAATAATAACTAAAGTCATATATTCTTACCTACATAGTTACTATTTCTCATTGCTTTGGCGCTTGTCATTTCCTTGTATAGATCCATATTTCCATCTAGTATCATTTATTGTGGCTGAATAATGTCCTTCACGTTAGTTGTAGTATGGATCTGATGGCAGTGAATTCTTTCTTTTTTATGTATGAACAAATAGTCATCTCATTTTTGTTTTCAAAAATATTTGCAAGGGGCACAGAATTCTAAGTTTCTTTCTCTCAGTACTTTAAAGATATTGCCTCACCATCTTTTTGTTTACATTATTCTTGGTGATAAATCTGCTATTATTCTTAGTCTTTTCCTCTGTGAAGTAATAAATTTTTTTCCTCTGGCCAATTTTAAGAATTTCTCTTTAACATGAGTTTTGAGAAAGGTAGTCATGTTGTGCCCAGGTGCACTCCCTGTGTCTCCCACGTTCCTTGACCAGTGGTTGCCCCAAAGCTTTTGCTCTTCATGGTGAGTGGCAGGATTACAAAAAAGCAAGTCAACCATGCAAGCCTATTTCAAGCCTTTGCTTGAATGACACTTACTAACAACCATTGGCTGAAGAATGACAGATGGTCATGCCCAAGGCAAGGGATAAGGAAGTAAATGCCATCCATTAGGAGGCCATGGCAAGTAGGCATAAAGATTATGGTCAAATGATATACCTGTACTGGAAGAAGTTCAGTATTTCAGATGTAAGCTTAGGTGTTCCTAGTGGAAGACACTTCATGAAATATAGTATAGAAGATTATTATAATTGGTAGGATTTTCCCATTGGATATTTTCCCCCTTTCATTTATACATCTAGTCTTCTTTCTTAAGAGCACATTCTAGGTCACCTCTTCTAGAATTTTTTTTTTTAAGATTTTATTTATTTATTTGACACAAAGAGATACAGAGTACAAGCAGGGTGAGCAAGAGGCAGAGGGAGAGCAAGAAGCAGATGCCCCACTGTGCAAGGAGCTGAACATGGGACTCGATCCTAGGATCCTGGGTTCATGACCCAAGACAAAGGCAGATGCCCAACAGCCTGAGTCACCCAGGTGCCCTTACCTCTTCTAGACTTTTAATGGTAAGACAGTACTTAAGCTCTAGCTTACAAGAGCTTAAGAATGTTGGGACCATATCAGATCTATTCTAATGGCAACACAGGTAGAAGGAATGAGAGATTAGTTTTCTTTTATAATGTTAAGTGAAATTACATGTCACTGTGATTCAACATGTAATGACAGATTTGTCATTTTATAAGGGAATATTACATCACCAGGCAACTCCATTTTTGTTCTTTTTGTAGTTCTATCCAACTACTCTTTGATATGAATGCCTTAAGGGTAACACTCAACAATTCAGGGTGCAAAACCAAATAGAATTTGAGTTTGAAGATGCCAACAGCACATTTTGAAGGCAGCCACACGGGTATTACGGATAGTTGAAGACAGTGGTTTTACACAGACACACTTCATTACCAATATAATTAATAACCGTGTAGCTTCCATTTCCATTTAGAGTATCTCCTATATAGTATATACAGTGGATTCATTGTCTTTACTACTCAGGGTACTCTTACTAGGTTGTATCACTCACATTTTATGCATGAAGGAATGGAGGCTCAAAGAAGGTGAACTAGGGGCACCTGGGTGGCTCAGTCAATTAAGCATCTGCCTTTGGCTCAGGTCATGATCCCAGAGTCCTGGGATCGAGTCCCGCATCAGGCTTCCTGCTTAACCAGGAGCCTGCTTCTCTCTCTGTCCTTCTCCCCTACTTGCTCTCTCTCTCTCTCTCTTCTCTGAAATAAATAAACAAAATATTAAAAAAAAAGAAGAAAAGAAAAGAAACTGAACTAATTGCCCAGAGAGACACAGCTAGCAAGTGGCAAAACTGTGTGTAAACCCAGATCCATTGCAAAGTCTAAGCATAGCTCCGTATAGTCTTTTCATCCCTGATGTCTAAATTCCCATCTGAAGTTCCTAAGGGGGGTCCATTATGCTCACGGAGGATTAATGGACATATTTGGAGGGGTTAACATTTTATGAAGCATTTACAGACTGTCAGGAATTCCTCTGCAGGTCTCAGGGTGCCTGTTTGAGAGATGGGGAACCAGGTCTTAGTAGCAGTCTGGAATAGCATCAGAGTCAAAGGCATCCAGCTGTTTCAGTCCTGTCTCAGCTGCACTGCAGCTGAGGGAACCAGGACAGTAGCTAAGCTCATTTAGCCCATTGTCCTCATCCCCAGATAGAGAAATGATGCCACTACCCCAGAATTTTGTAAGGATCAGATGATGAAAGTGAAATGAATACATTTGAGGACTTTAGGAAGGTAATTCTTTGAAGGCAATAACAGTGTTATGGGGTTGTTATCATTAGATGGCAGCAAAGTGCCCTAACCTGATATTTATATTTATATTTATTGAGTTCTCAGAACAGTGTCTAGCACATTCAGAATGAATACAGGTGTTCACAGAATTTCACAAAAAATATAATTTGTATCAATATAAATGTTGGTGAAAAACAGAACTGATGCAGATTTGAATAGGGGCCAAAGGAATCTGTTGATAGTTTTGTGATTATAATTATTAAAGAACAGGGATCTCAGAATAGCATTATCCTTGTGAAATTTTAAAAGTGTTTAAGAATAATGACGCTGCAAAATAGATAGCTCAAAACCTGTAGCATGATATCGAAACAGATTTCCTACTCCAGTGAGTATGGATACTAAAAAAATATTATCTTTTATATCTCAAAGTTTTACATATAGTCTTAAATTTTATGTCTATGATCAATATTAATTACACTTAATTTAGGCTGAGATCATGATAGAAGCATCATGAGATTGAGCCCTGTGTGGGGCTTCTCACTCAGTGTGTAGTCTGCTTGGGGTTCTCTCCCTTCTCCCTCTGCCTCTCAACCTGTTCATGTGTGTGCACTCTTGCTCTCTCTCAAAGAAAATAAAAAAACAAACAAATAAATAAGATCTTTCTCTGAACATCCTTATTCTTTTTTTTTTTTTTTAAGATTTTATTTATTTATTTGAGAGAGTAAGGGAGAGAGGGAGAAGGAGAAGCAGGCCCCCCCACTGAGCAGGGAACCTGATGTGGGGACTCCATCCCGGGACCTTGAGATCATGACCTTAGCCAAAGGCAGACGTTTAACCGACTGAGCCACCAGGTGCCTCTGAACATCCCTATTCTTATATGTCCTTTATTCATGATTGTGACCTTTCAATTACTAGGTAAAAGATGGTCAAAATTGAAGCTTATATCAAATATTAAACACATGTAACTTGATTCTGTGAAAACTGACCCAGTTCTATTCACCGTGGTAGTTTATGGAGACTTTATTTCAGCTCTGACCCTTAGTATGAACCTGAGCCAGGGTTAGGCTAACTTCAAAGCCCTTGTTATTTTTTAATATCATGATAAGTGAACAAATATTAATGTTCAATATTATAAATGTTTTGCTATTATCATAGCAGGACTCTTATCCTAGGTCTTATTTATTTTACCTCTTTCTAAACCAGGAATGTTATTTTCCAGCGGCTGTTGGGAGACATGGTTGTTTCCCCATGTCTTCCCTTTCGCCCTCCCTCCCTCAGATACACAATGGAGACCAACAGCATTATGGATGAAGAATGATCATACAATAATTAGATCAAGGGACAGGGTCCCTCCAAGGGCATGAGGCAGGTGGATGTAGTCACAATAGACGGTGTCCCTTCCTTTTTACATACTAACTTCACAGGGGATATTATGGCGTGGGCTACAGGAATGGATCCAAGCCATCTGATCATCTGTAATTCTTGATTGGACATTTCTGAACTAGCAAAGGGGAGTCCTTGGATACTGGTGGCATCAGGATATACCTCTCAGACATTCTCTTCATTGGCTGGATTCAGACCAGGACAAGGAGAAGATTTTTTTTTTAATTTTTATTTTATTTATTTGACAGAGATCACAAGTAGGCAGAGAGGCAGGCAGAGAGAGAGAGAGAGAGAGAGGAGGAAGCAGGCTCCCTGCTGAGCAGAGAGCCCGATGCGGGCCTCAATCCCAGAACCCTGGGATCATGACCTGAGCCGAAAGCAGAGGCTTTAACCCACTGAGCCAACCAGGCGCCCCAGGACAAGGAGAGGAATTAAAAGCCAGGTCATGTTCCTGGGTGTCTTAGATTATAGCTGTCCAGAGTTGATTATTTCCCCCTTCATCACATTTCCTGGTAACTCTGGGAGCTTATGGGTGAGCCACCTCCCTATGCTCATGAAAGGAAGTTAACTCTGGAAACTACCAGAGCCTGCTTTGGGGATATTCGGTGGTGTTGAGGATCATACATGGATTATATCACAAAGTCTCACACTATTTTTTGTTTCATTTTAACAGAATGAAGTCCCTGAGGTGAAGAAAGAGGAGACATTGTTGGATCTGGACTTCGACCCTTTCAAGCCTGAGGTGGCCCCTCCAGGTTCTGCTGGAGTGACCCATTCCCCCATGTCGCAGGTATCCAGTGGCAGTTCTTGTGTTGGGGGTGCCATATCATAAACTTGAATAAGCTCTGTAGGGCAGCTGATGCCTGTCCAGGAACCCCGTCCATTGCAAGTGACTATTTACTTTTCTTTGGAGTTGACAAACATCACCCAGTGGGAAGGAAGGGTAGAAAAAGGACCTTCATTCCAAAGCTCCCCCCACAATTAGCTCTCTCTGTACATAGAGCTGGGATAGCCATGCATTCCAGTTTGCCCAGGAATCCTCCATCTGCAAGTAATTGTCAGTATTACTGTCAGTAATATTGCCAGTATTATTGTCAGTATTAGTTTGCCCTCAGAGTGTACAGCTTTGAATGGTACATTTTCTGGCTTCTCTAAATGAAGCTCTTTTGGCTCTGGGCTTAATCTTACTGTTTTCTCCACTTTCTTCCTCACGTTTTGTAGACTAAAGCATGTTAGAAATAACATTGAAATTATGCCCCAACAGAAATGCTTTCCAGTCTTGGTAGTTTTGAACTCGATGACGTTGTCCTCCTCCACATTCCAGAAGCTTCCCTCATGTGACCTTGACTATGACCAGAGTTGGCCTTGCTTATCCAGCTTGTCCTTGCTCATTTCCTCACCCTCAACATTTCCGTACTTCAATAGTGATCACCACAGTGTTCTCCAGCAGAGGGATCTTGGAGGTGGGCTTGGTAATGACTTCTGGATGATTCGTCAGCAGTAGACGTCCTTTACAACTGCCTTTGCTCATGAAAGGAAGTTAACTCAAAATTTGGCTAAAAAGAAATTGTTTATATCCCTATTTTTGATGTGTTTGGAGGCTCACACTTAACTTTGGGCAAATCCAAAGATGCTAGAATATATTTCAAATTAATTAATGAAGGTGTATTAAAAAACTAAAGTTGAGAATTGAGACCTCACTCAATTTTCCAGTCTTGAAGTCTTCTGATACCTTATAGTTAAACCATAATAACCTTAGCATAAACCTTGATAAATAAGCTTCTCCTAATCCGTGCTTTATTCCAGAATGTGACTGGGTTTTTAAAGGCCTCCCTGTCTTAATATAGGAACAATAAAAATCTGAGATGTTAATAAAGCAAGTAATTAGTATGCAGATCAGATATTAGCCTTAAAGATATTTTGCAAAAAATGAGTTTCTTAGATAAATGGCTGGGAAAATTCTATTAACTCCCTTTTAAAAGGAGAGTCACGATACGCATTGGAATAGTAAAGCTTCCAAGGTGTTCTACAATTAAAAGAAAAAACTGTGTAGACTTGTTTAACTTAGAGTTTCCCAAATTTGACCACAGAAATCTGTTTTAATGAAAGTTTATTAACAGTCACTGGAATGTACTCTAAGATATACTTTGGGAAACGCTAACATAATAATTGTCAGCAAGTTTTGAGGTTCTGCTTTGGTGGCCAAGGAAAGCAGGAAATGAATGCACATCTCATTCAGAATACTTCCCTGTCAGAGCTTCTTTGTTGTTTAGAATTCATGGACCTTCCTCTGCCATGCTCTCCAGCATTCACTGCTCTAGCGACAGAAGGCAGGTCTCTGCAGTTAATGCTGTTGTGGTCAGTGGATGAGATGCCACAGCATTTCTGTCTGTGAGTTTGAATCGAGAGAGAAGTCTCTTTTGTATCAACTCATGATTAAATAAATCCACAGATCATAGAACTCTGTGTAGATTTAGAACAAAGATTCTTTCAGAATTAAAAAAAAAAAAATGACCTTCGTTAAACCTTCAAAAGTCTTTGGAAGAAAATGCATCATTGCAGTTAGGAAAAGCACTGCCCCTGGTCCTGGTGGCTCTAATTGAGTCAACTCATAGCAACATCATTATGTGAGCCTCTCTAATCACATCTCCTTTTCACCAAGGACAGTCGGAGGCTGCAATAGCAAAAAGAACAGAGCCATTAGACTCTGCTGGCCTTTCTTCTCCTTCGCTCAGAATGATCTCCCTTACCCATCACCTGACCCAGAGTTTTAAATGAATGTTCTCGATGCTAGCAGAACACCTCACCTGTGATCTCCACAGTGTCCACAGGAGTTAACACATCCTTTCATGATCCTGAGGACTGATATACACGCCATTTCACATTGCTGCCTTCCTTTGGAGAAAATACCAGTGCTGTCTGCATTATGCAAGAATATAGAGTAGCTTCTAGGGGCTATGATTCTTAAGGGGTCTGGAAGCAAGAAGACCCAAATCATCTATATAATCAGGAAGTGCATATTAGTTGCAGGAGTCCACATGCAATAACTATGGCTTTCCCTGCAGCTGTTCTGATCTCCTTTCTTAGTCATTGACAGGTGGTTGCTAACCCAGAGACCTGCCAGGCTGCACAGAGATGCTGGGTGGCTGGGGCCGGACAGTCTGAGCAGATCCAGACTGGGGGATCGGTGGGTAGGGGGTGGGCTCACTCAGAACCACAGAGCCCACATTCTGTAGTGCAGAATCCTAATGAGACCTCTGTGACCCCATCTGGAAACTCCCAGATTCTTAGAGTACCAGGCTTTCTAATTTGCCACTCATTTAGTGATTCAAAACTAGTGCATAAACACAGATCTGTTCCAGTCACAAAAACAAAGACAGAAAAGGATGTGGCTTTGGCAGCAATTCTCAATCACAAAGGAAATGAGAAAAAGAGGTCTCCCTCACTTTCCCAAACACACAGCAGAAATCACTTGAACCATCTGGATCCATTCCCCAGGATCAATGAGCTTGATAATTAAAAATGCCAGCAGTAAGTCTAATTCATCCATATGTCTTAGGGAGCACCCTGCTAATTTGCATGATTATCTTTTAGTTGAGCTGTGTTATCATCTAACTCATTGTATTGAAGAACTCTTTTTGTGGGGTTCATTTACCATCAAACTGATCATAATGCAACCTCTTAGATATGGTGGGAGGGGAAGGGGCAGTATTAGCAATGACTCAGATCTGCATGTCCCAAAAGATGTGAGAAACTCTAATATCTGGATACCTTGTACTTCATTTAACTGTGTATATGTATGGGGTTGTGTGTGTGCATGTGTGGGTATGCACACAAGTGCTAAAGTAAACCCATTCATCATGTTCCAGATATAGCTTTCAACTTGTAGAGCGAAAAGCAGATTGACTGGTCCTCTGGGGTCCAGTATGGTAGCCACAAGCCACATTTGACTATCCAAATTCAAATTAAGTAAAATTATGTAAAATTTAAGATTTGGTTCTGTTATGCTGGCACATTTCAAGGGCCCGTAGCTACGTGTGACTAGAGGCTGCCATATTGGACAGCACAGACATGGAGCATCAGCATCACCAGAGTTCTGTTGAACAGTGCTGTTTCAGATGTTTTCCTTCAAGACATTTGGTCACCTCAGTATTTTTTACATGCGTGGGATTTGTATGCTAACCATATTTTTGTTTATCTCTTTTCAGACATTGCCCTGGGACCTATGGACGGTAAGAGTAATAAAAGCTTGTATTTTGATGTATCTGGATTCCCACACATTTGGAAACCCTGTTATATTTTAATTCACCTGTGGTGGGAAGAAGACCTAGACATTTTTAATGACAGTGTAGTCCCCTAGAGCAATCATTAGCTCCCTGATGGTTCCAAGCATTGCCAGCACCTGGAAACAATGGTGAGGAAAAGAGTGTCAGTGTGCCAGAGCCCTGGATAAGCAAGAATTTGGTGTTATGCCCTTTTGTGCTTCTTCCTGTGGTTATCGGTGGCTACTGGAGATGTTGTAGCAAAGAGCGGGCACATTTTTTGTTGCTTTTAAATAGAACAGAAGAAAACATGGATGAGAAAATGTAAGGGGCAGGCTAATCTGCTCGGGGAACTTCTTTTCTATTATTGTGATAATGAAGCTTCCTCAATAAGAATTTGAGCCTTAGAGCCAGACAGCCCTGGATTTGAGCCCAGACTCAACCTTTTATAAAAATATGACTTTAAGCATTTATGGACTTGCCTTTCATCAGTCTCTGTATTTCTCATCTGTAAAATAAGGGTAAGGATGCCTATATAGAGGGTTGTGTGAGGATGAAGTAGATAGTATCTATAGAGTGCTTAGCCCAATATCCAGTACAGATCAATAAAAGGTAGCCGTTACTAGTAATGGTGTGTATTCAGCTAATCTGATGGGTGAGGATGAGCACTTCCCGAAGTTAGAATTTAGGGAAAAGACGTGGAACAGAGCTTTGTGGTGGCAGCACACCCATGTGGATTCAGAGATGACCACACCCATACGGAGACTCACACCCCTCACAGGCGGGGCCTTTGCCCTGTTTTAGAAAAGCTCTGGTCACATGGTCTTCAGAACTCAACCATTGAGTTTCATGATAACTTCTTTTTTAGTGAGACAGCAACAGGAAACTTTTCTAGATCTAGCTATTCATGGGCCTAATCTTCTAAAGTGACATTGCTACTCTTGTCCCTCAAAACACAAAGATGACTGCTCCCTTCCCTTCCATAGGAGCGGGTTTATACTGCACTACTTAGGATCCTTGAAGCATCATGGAAGGCTCTTGAGAGAACACCTAAAAAATGTTGATTGAAAACATCTTTTATAGTGAGATGGCTTTGCTGGTGTAATCACAAAAAGGGATATTTAAATTCTAGCCACATTTGAATTCTGTGTTAATGGTCTTGATGATCAAGAGGACATTGCTAATGTTTTGTTATTCCATTATTTCATATCTTTAGCTGAAGTTATAATACACTTTTTCTAGCTAAGAATGGTATGGTGAGGATGGAGGTATCATCTAGAAGGATCATGGGTCCTTTCAGAGGACAAAACTGCTAAGAATAGTAGCAGTGACAAAAACGCAAAACTCTAGCTCCCTGTACATAAATGCTATTTCTTGATCCTCTCAGTCTCCCTGTGTTGCTCGTTTATGTGTAGATAATGCTTCTAGGCTGGGGGCGGGGTGGGGGAGAACATGAGGAGAATAATCCAGAGTGGTGAGTAACAGATCATCCTCCATATAAACACTACCTCAGAGGCAGAAGCAAGAATGGGGTGAGTTTGGGGGAAGATTTATTCTGATATTGTGTCGGAGCACATGATGTTGTGTACTTTTGTGGCTGCTAGGGTTTCGTCTTATTCTGGTGTTCTCGGGTTTGCTTATTTATTTGAAACTTTGCATTTCAAAGTCTGCTAAATCAGGAGTCTTGTAATAGCCCTGAAACATTTTTGTTAACTAGAAAATGAGAGAGGCTTTCTTCACGTTTCAACTGTGTGGTCTTAAGCAGTATTGGCACAAAACTCATTCCAATCACAAAACAAGTTGTGAAATTTAATCTCAAACCAGTAGAAGCTGCAGCTTTCAGGACAGTATTGACTCTGGACCGCATGGGATTTTAATGTGCCAGAGAATTTTCTTCTTTTGACCCATTATTATTATTATTATTGATTATCTTTTTTTTTTTTTTTAATTCATACAGACAAGCACTGATTTGGTACAGCCGGTAGGTAAATATCCAGAACATTCTGGATTTTTAAAAATATTTAATATGTATTATATACATGAATATTATCTAGAATGAGCTTTTTTTTTTCTCATGGCATTGTTAATTGCAGATTTAACCTTAAGACGGTTAATTTAAATGCTCTCTAGCTTTGTTTAACTGGTGCTACTCTACTGAAGAGCTTTGCGTTTCTCATCAAATCTTACCATGATCTGTTTCATCTTCTGTTTTTTTTTTTTTTTTCCCTTTGCTATTCTGCATACTCTAAAGACTGACTCTTCAAAAAGTCTTTCCCTGTGTAACCTGATCATGGAGGAAACTCCAGACAGTGGGTTGGCCGAAGAAATTCAAAGATCTCAGATTGACCTAGGTGCATTTATTTGGGGCCCTGACGGTAGTACAGAGAGTGTCAGCCAGGCAATTACCCAAGGTGGGTCTCAAGAAAGCTCTTCATGTCTCTCTGAAGCAGAGCAAGACATGGGATTATCCACTGGAATTGCTTCTTCAGCTGACTGGCACACTGTAGCTGAACAGGGTGAGCATGTCGTGGGGCCAGCTCCTCCGTGTGGAAATGAACACCTGTACCCAAAGCCTGTGCTTGAGGCTGAATTTGCCACCGTGGCTTCTACGGAGATGGAGCAGCCTCATGACTTAGCTGCCTCAGAGATGGCAGCCACAGAATCTGGTGGCGTGGTCAAAGAAAATCAAGAAGATGTTAAACAGTCAGAAGAAGAAGAAGAGAAAGAGAAGATAGAAGATTCTATGTGGGCAGGTGTGGAGACATGTGAAAAGGTAGACACTAGAGCTATTGATACCAAGGCATTAGAAGGTACAGAGGAGTTTGAAGAGAAAGCATGTGAAAGTACAGGAGACAGGCTAGTAGATCTTCTTAAGACACTAAGAAAGCAAAACCAGGAGACCTTAGCAGTTAGTAAAGAGGAAATGAGGAAAGATCTAAGAATTGGTTGTAAGGAAATTGAAAAGACCAATGAAAAATATTTTGATAAGACTGATGTATTAGAAGAAGACCTAGAAAGAGTAGATACGGCAGCTGAATTTAGTGACAGAAGCCAAGGGCTAGATGAGGGGAATCAAGTAGTAATTAATAATTGTGAAATTATAGAGGGCTCTGGAGCTAATCCTGCCCATCACACAGATATTTTTAATCTGCATTTCCAGACTGATTCTGTATCTAATAATGAAAATGCAAGCCCTGAGGGATGTGGTTTAGCTAGAAAAGACCTAAGGAAAAATTTAATAGACTCTTCTAACCAGGATATAATACATCACTCAGGACAGGGCAGTGCAGATGCTGAAGAAATTCAGCATAAGACTATGTTACATACTCCTGGGGTTGACAGGAATGAAAATCAGGCTGTTTTTTCATCATTAAAACATCAAGTGGCAGCTCATTCTAGGACAGAGTTTAATTATTCTCTGGAAAATAATGTAAACAGGAGAGATTGGTGTTTGCATAAGGCAGAAGACTCAATAATAGAGGGGTCTGAAAGTACAGCAACTGGGAACTGTAGCCATACCATTAACTTGCCAACGATTGTAAAAACAGACTCTTGGGCAACGTATCCAGGTCAAATCTGGCAGACAAGCCTGGATCCAGCAGTGAATAGTATGGATATATTAGAATTCTCTGGTATACCAGATGGCCAAGCAAGTGGATTTGCCAGTTGGCTTGATCCTATTAACCACTGGCCTATCAGAGAAACAGAAGGTTTAGATAATTGCTGGGAGCATTTAGATACGGTTGAAGGCGAGGTGGACTTAGCAGTGGATTTATGTGGGGAACAAGCCATTGCTAACTGCTGGGAACAAAGCCGAGAGATAGCTAGACCCTTCATTCTGGAAACCTCCCACAATGCTAGCACCGAGAATTCTGCTAGTCCCCAAGACAGTGACATCAGCAACTCAGATTTATCTGAAGATGAAATTGCTAACCAGAGATATGGATTGTTGTACCAAGAAATAGAGCCTGATAATGAAGAGGTACTTACCCCACTATGTAGTATAGACTAGCCAAAGACTTCTGTAGGTTCTGTTTTCCTAATGTTTCCCACCTACTTCATTATCCATCCATCACTGTCTTCTCTGAGGCTTGCCTCATCTCCTTGAAATCCGTGCAGACCAAACACAAATAGGTTGACAAAAAAAAAAAAACCCACAAAAAAACCCCCCAAAAGCCAATTACAAAAGCAGGATTTTTGTGTTGGGAACTAATGAGTCTGTTTTACCATCCCATTTATTATGTTTATTCTATTTTCACTTTTACTGTTCAAACACTAAAAACAACTAAGAATATGTAGAACAAACTAATTTACTCTTCCTAGAGTGATTCTACAGCAGTAAGAGCACATGATATGTTTCTACACAGGTCCCCTGAAACTATAGACTCTCATAATAGCTTTCGATCCAAATGATGTATTAGAGAAATACTGAAGATGCTTCTGGATTCTATCAGTGGCCTAAAAAAGGATCTATTTAACCCCTCGTGGCTTTTCTCTGGAATCATCTTCATCTCCATTGTGAAAGTGGGCTTTGGTTAACACTGAGCCACACACCAGTAAATACTATTATTTGTAAAAATAATCTTTATTTGTCAGCCTATTTAAAATAATACTGTATGGCCTTTTACATTTCCTAAACACTTTCATGCACAGCAACCTTTTGTATTATTTTAAAACATGTAGTGGTCTTCACTTTCCAACTTGTCTGGTGGACATTTACTGATCCCACAAAAATGATAAAACATAACATACTTTGATTTTCTTTCCTGTTTAGGCTTCTGGTGGTACATTTAATGGATTCACCCAGGTAAGAGATCGATTCGCTGGCACATTCTGTCTGCTGAAAATGATACAAATTGTTAAAATACGGACCTCAGTGTCACTCGAAGAGCGTGATGTTGAAGCATGTCAGTGCAAAACTTGACCCTATGACTTCCAGTTTCGGTAATGGAAGCAGTAATAGTGGCAACGTTGTAGGATTGTTGTGAAGAGTCAATGAGACATGCTTGCGGAGCACTTTGCCCAGTAGCACCTACTAAGTGCTTCCCAGCTGTAGTAGCTATTAATATTGTTAGCCCTGTCGTGGAATAAGGCTGATTCCTCTACTAGAAATGAGTTCTCCTGACTCGAGAGAGCCACTAGATTCAGCTGTTGGAAGAAAGGAGGTGGGATTGTTTTGAACCAATGGGATGGGTCCTTAGAAAGTAGAAATGGTTTCTAGGATCCTCCTTATTTAGATTCACGTAAGAGCCCTACTACTTTGAACCTTACCTCTTCAGTCATTCTTTAAGCAGGAGCTCTTTGAGGCTCAGAAGCCGTAGATTGGCTCTGATCAGGAAGGCAGAATTTCCCTTGGGTGTCTGTGGTAGAGGAGCCACAAGATGGACTATCCCATCATTCTGTATGACCCAACAGATAGACAGTTGTAACCCACGCAAGTGTAGACCACGCAGCTCTCAGGCTCATGGAGTAAGTTCTGAAAACCTCTTCAAGGGAGACTTCAGACTTGATGAAGTCTTGTGTCTGTGATGAGTGTTTTATCTCAAAATTAGAGATGAACAGTTTCTAATTTTAACATTTAGAATTTCTTTGCTTGAAAGTTTGGCTACTTTTCCCCCATGTTACCTGTAAAATGATAAAGGCCACCCCTACCTGAATCCAAATACAGGTACACACAACCATGGAGGGAGAAGATAATGCCTCTCTTCAGTCTGCATAAAACTCATTTGAAAAGTCAGGTCATAAGAATTGTTACTTATTTCTCATTTTTTAAAAATATGTTTATCCATTATAAATGTACCTTCTGTAAAGAGAAACCAAATTATATAAGAGCATTTTATAGAAAAAGTTCAGACTGTCATACACCCCCTCTGCTTCCTGTTTCTTAGAGGTAAGTACTTTTACTCCTTTTCCCTATTGTTTGATTTCAGCCACATGTGTGTGCGTGACTTGCTTATAATGCTACTTCTTGGTCTCTAAAGCATTATCTATTGACTCCTCTCTCCAGAGTGCAGACTTAATGTTCCTTCAGATGCCCCCCTCTCAGTTTTCCCTCCCTCCCCTTCCTGCCTTTTGTCTGCTGTAGTCCCACCATAGCCATCCAGCCAATCTGTGGTGATAGTATAATAATATCAATAGTATTGGCGCCCCCACCATGAAGTTTACCTTTAGTTTTATGCCAACTTTCTGTTCTCCTTTGAGGAAATAATCACAGGGTCTTTTTTGTTTGCTTGTTGGTTCATTTGCTCTTAGTGTTTTAGGGACTTATCACTAATTTAGTCCCATACTCTGTAAGAAGTCTCTCCTCGTTTGTTTGGAAAACCTTAAACATTTGGTCAGCTTCATCTTCCTGGAGAATTTTCTTGTTTCAATTTCTGGAGTGTTCTGTCTGAACTGGGTTCTCTCTGGTGATGCCTGCTGCCATAGCTGTTCCCACAGGCTCTCCTGTTAAGTCTATTGCAGGCATTGCCTTCACCATTCCCTTGTGTCAGTCCATTATTTTTCAGACAAAAATCTTATTCATTTGGTTTAATTCCATGTACTAAAACCCATCTTCATCCATAAATTAAAGCAGGTCCTTTTGTAGCTCCCTAAGGAAAATGCATAAGAGGAATATATTTGTGACCTTGTACATAGGAAAATGTCTTTATCTAAATACATAATAGTCTGTTAGATTAGATATCATATTAGAGTATAATTTTTCCCTTAGAATTTTGAAGATGTTGCTCCATCCATTTCTACTTCCTAATGTTGTCACTGAGAAACTATTGTTTTGATTCTTTTTAAAAATTAATCTTAGATCTTAGATAAATTAAAAATTAATCTTAATCTTTTTAAAATTAATCTTTTTAAAAATAATATTAAGATCATCATGAAAACTCCATGCTAATTTTTAGAATAATTTTCCAACAGAAATATTGCACAAACAATACCTTTACATCATGTTTGAATTTTATAGTAGGATCATAGAGTCTTTTTTTTGAATTAGTATTTGAGGATTTTTGTCAGTTTTACCAAAGGCCTTTTTAAATCTTGAATGTAATTATTTAAATAGTATTCTTGGGGTGACTGGGTGGCCTAGGCGGTTCCAGCTCAGGTCATGATCTCTGAGTCATGAGATCCAGCCCCTCATCAGGCTGCATGCTCAGTACGGAGTCTCCTTAGAGTTTCTCTCTCCTTCTCCATCTGCCACTCCGTCCCCCACCTCTGCACTTACACTTTCTTTCTCTCTCAAGTAAATAAATAAACCTTAAATAAATATAAATAAAATAAATAGTATTCTCATTCTGAGTATCTGCTGTGTCATTATCCTTGTTGGTTCTTTTTTCATTTGTTTGCTGGTCTTTAATTGGGCATAACCATTAATTGTCAGTGGGTTTGTGTAATATTGTACTGCTACTTCCACATCACTTTGGTCTACTACTAGAAGTTCTGTATCTTATATCAAAATTTTAATTTCAATTTTCGGGCAATTTGTATTTGTATAGAGATTGAAGTATTAAAAATTATTGGGAAATGATAGATATTAGTCTTTTTTTAGGTTTTTATTTTAGTTCCAATATAGTAAACATACAGTCTTAGGTTAGTTTCAGGTGAATGGATAAGGAAGAGATGGTAAATATACAATGGAATATTACTCAGCCATAAAAAGCGATGAAATCTTGCCATTTGCTACAGTGTGGATGGAGCTCCAGAGTATAATGTTGAGTGAAATAAGTCAGTCAGAGAAAGACAAATAACGTAAGATTTCACTCATATGTGGAATTTAAGAAATAAAACAAATGAGCAAAAGAATGAAGAAAGAGAAAGAGACAAAAAACCAAGAAACAGACTCTTAATTGTAGAGAACAATCTCCCAGAGGGGAGAAGGGGTGGGGCGGATGGGGAAAACAGGTGATGGGGATTAAGGAGTACCCTTGTCATGAGCGATGGGTAATACATGGAAGTGCTGAATCACTATATTGTTTTGATTCTTGGTATTTTAAAGAAAACTCTTCTTTCTTTATCTCTCTTTCTGTCTCTGCCCTTAGTTATACTACTTTCTCTTTGTCTCTGGAAGTTTGTAGAATCTCTTTTTTACCTTGTGTTTCTGAAATTTTACAGTGATTTACTGTTGTCTGAGTCTATTTCATATATTGCACTGAGGCTCTTTTAATCAAAATCTATGTCGTCTAGAGGGGGAATATTTTGTAATCTCACTGGGGGTTTCTCTTCTGTTTTCTAAGTCTTCTAGTTGTTTTCTTTGCTTTTTCCTTTTCTTGGTCATCTTTCTCTGCTTTCCAGCTCTTTCAACAGATATTTCACTACTTTTTTTTTTTTTTTACTTTTTTTTTTTTTAATTTCCAAGAGCTCTTTTTGTTGACTATTTGTTTTTTAATTGCATCCTCTTATTATGTTATGAATACAACACTTCCATTATATCTCTGGAAGTATTAATAATCATGACCATTTTTGAAGGTCTTTTTCTACCTAGAAAGTCTTTGTTTCTTCCACTTCTTCTTCTCCTTTTTTTTTAAACTATTCAGCTTTTCTCTTTATTATTTGAGACTCTTCCTAAATGTCTGGTGATCTTGGTCTACTTATATTTAAGAATGGGACAATACAAAAGCTGACAAGAAACTTTTATAGGTAGATAGAACTCATTGACTGTAGATATTGTTCTGGAATTTTCTGTTTCAGTTTTCCTGTTGAGAAGCCCTTGATATGAAATTCTGTTGGCATTTTTCTTGGGCTGGTTAAATTTCTAGCTCTTCTGGTCTCCTGTCTGGTGGGTATAATGGGAGGTGGATGGTAAAGAAGTTGGGGGTTAGAGGGGAGGTGACCAGGGCTCTCAGTTTGTTATGTAAGTGCTCCCTTAAGTCTGCTACTTTCCTAATATGTCTCTGCGTTCCCCAGTCCAGAGGCCCTATGTTTCAGCCTCTGTGGAAATAATGTCAAGTCTTGTGCTGCAATGAAGAGATATTGCTTGGTTTTCGGATACATGAAAAGATCGTAAGGTCCAGTTGCTTTTTTACAGACTTCCAGCCAAGTCCCTGTCTTTAGCACCACACAGGTTCCATTTCCCTTGGTCCCTCTGTTTCTAATTCTTGATCCTTTGGGAGATCTGAGTAACACACTGGGTTGTATTTTTGGCATTTCCTACATCACCTTAGGATACAGAATTTTGGGGGCATCCACTAAATTACTTCTTTTGTCTGCTTTTCAGTTTCAGAATGGTGTTGCTCTTGTCTTCTCATTCTTTTTATGTTCATGGATTTATGCCTTTTTAAATTTACCTTATGAAATTCCCTTTATTGTTTACTTTGGATTCTGGAGGTAACAGAGGTAATTGCCTCAATACAACATCTTTAACCAACAGTCACTGTCTCATTTCTTCTATTGGGGTGCCCTGATATCAAATTCTATGGGTACTTTTTTTTTTTTTCTTCAACTGGTTAGATTAACCAGGAAAGACTCTTTTGGTCTTCTGTCTGGTGAGTATAAGTCTGGCTACCAGCATAATGAGAGATGAATATTGTCCTTGAGATCACTGTTCCCTTAGATTTATTCCAGCTTGATTTTTTTTTTTTAGGTCAATGAATACATGGTGTAACATTTTTTCAGTTATGACTCATTATTAACCCATAGAAGTCACACCTAGGTGATAGAGTAAGATTGAATTTATAACATTTAAAAAGTGTGAATTTGTAGCTGAGAGCCACAAAATTCTAATTTAGTGTAGATGTCTAGAAGAGAAGCTACAGAACAAAAACGACCCTGAGGTCACTACCCCTTTTTTCAAATGACTCTTACTGTACTATTGTGTGGTATCACGCTAGCTCACAGTTTTGTTTGAAACATTTACTGTAAAAATTACTTTGGTATTATCTGCGTTTCTGATTGAAAATAAAAGACACTTTAATACTTTATATTGTATTTATGGATACAATTGATAGAAGCTAATTGAAATGATATCTTTTTTTTTTTTTTAGCAAATTAAGCTGGAATCTTCATTAATTTTTCATTTTCTGTTTTCTTCCCAATTTTTAGCCCCAAGACACTTCCTTATTCACAATGCAGACAGACCAGAGCATGATCTGTAACTTGGTAAGTTGACATTGGTGTGTATTTTGAGGGCATTGTCAGTTACTACTGAACATACTAGGATTGATGATTCTAGATTATCTAGAGCTTGAATATCCAGAATGTGGTTTCTGCAGCCCTTTCTTTTTAGGAAAGAGGAAGGAAAGCTTCTGAGAAATCTCACTGTGACTTTGATTTTGGTTGCTTTTATTTATAAAGGGACAGTGATCCAGCAGAAAGCAGAAGTCTCTTAGTTCTGGGCTTCAGTGGAGCCCGGTAAATCCATTAATGGCATGGCGGTTTCCGCCTGAGTGTCACTTACTCCACAGGATTGGAAATGAAATTGCCTCAAGAATTCATGCTTCGGGATAGATCCTTGCTTCTTTGAGCCTGAAGCTACCTCATTTCTCATCTCCTCCCTCCACTGTGTTAGTTGTAGAAAGAAGTCACATGTACTAGAGACGTGATTCCCCTGTTGCTGCTAAAGGACACGAGGACAAAGCTTAGCTAGGGCGTGAGTAGGAGTGGACAGAATTACTCTTGGTATCAGAGGAGATTCCAACAAGATTGTTGTTGCACTTGTCATGGGAAACCTTTTCTGCAGCAGCTTGCTGGGGAAGTTGAAGGAAGAGGCCTTGAGTGATGTCACTTGTGAGCTTGGTGGCCGTAGGCTACACAGGACAGGGTGTTCATGAGCGTTATTTGTCGCTCACTCGCTTTCCCGTGGGAATGCGATATAATTATCCCAGCTCCTGGCTTTCACATTAGAAGCTTAGAATCAGATTTAAGTAGAATAAATTTTTCTTTTTAGATGATTTCACTTCTAAGTAAGGAATTCAGTTCTGGGAACTTTGTCTTAAAGCTTACTTTGATAATTTCTCAAAGGCCAGTACATCTGTAATACCTTGTCTATCAATTGTCATACTTTTTGCCTTTTGGGTAACCAGGTGAAAGGTGGAGTCTGTGTGACCTGCAAGTAAAGATTTAAATGTTTAACGTACAAATTATGTTGGTGTTGATAATGGAGCCAGAGAGACTTACATGTCATATTTATTGCTGAATTTCAGCTTGGGTGTGGAGTAGGGGTTATACCAACACTGGAGGATGAGACTTTTAATTATCAGTTGTGAAGGGGTCAAGAGAAAGATGGAGAAATATTGGTATAAAAAAAAAAGGCAGTGGATCATATTTAAACTCCCACCTATTACTCTCATGCAAAAATCCGGGCATAGCATCCAGTGGTTTTTGAGTTTCTTAAAACATCTTCCTGTTCCCCTCAGCTTGTTGTGGGAGCTTCCGTTGCCTGCTCTTCTCTTCTGTGGATATGTGTTCTTTATTTTGTACCTTCTTTCCTTTGGGGAACTTAGCTTTGTCATACCCAGCATTGCAGATGCTGCTAACATTGGCTAAGCCATGTGAGGAACTAGGAAATCATAGTGAAACCATGTCTCACCGAGTTGCAATGGCCTGCTTTCCATCTTATGACAGAGGATACTGAACAATATGCAGGGAGGCTGTGCTGCTCATTTTGTTCTAAAGGAAGAATTCCATTTCTGTATCTCAGATTTAAGCCATTGTGACATCCCACTGCCACCAATAAATTTAGAGTATATTTCTCCTTTGAATGTGTGACAGTCGCCACCCCAGCAAACAATAGGAAATTATCACAAGCACGCCTGAACAGGGATGGCGTGCTGTCAACCCATTTGCAAGGTCTGTTCAGGGAGGAAACTTGTAGAAAAAAATATGGTACACGTAGGGTATAATTCTGATAGGACTACTTTAGATTTTTCCATGAAATGTAGTTCACAATTTACCTTTGCTTTTCTTCTATCTTGAGAAAATATTTATGATTTTACACTACCTTAGAAGGAATCAAAGGGTGACTTCCATTTCTAAGTTGGAGTAGTTGATTTTACGTACAATCATGCTATCGTGTTTATCCTTACTCATCAATGAGTTATATTTGTCCCCCTAAAATTAAAGTTGTAAAACTGCATAGGCATATGGTACTATCTCATGTGATATGATAGTATAGGGGAAATGTTGTGACTTGTGACGACATACCAATCCTACGTTCTCTTCAAACTGTGCTTCTGTTACATTGTCTGATTTCAGCAAGCAAATGCAATTCAGCTCCTATGAAAAATCACTTACTTATTCTTGCCTTATATGAAACTTCAAAATTTCTCTGGACTTCCAAGAAACCCAGGCTTTGATACCAATTTTTTTTTTCATTTTAAGTTATCTCTATATTTTTTTTTATGTACAATGATATATTTATTTGACTCCTAATTTGAAACTTCCCTTGGCTCCTTAACTGGCTTTAAACTTTCTCCTTAAATACTCAGCCCACAGGGGGACAGCCCTCTGTATGTGGATTTCTTGGTGCTTTATCAAATTGCCCTTCCTATCCTTGTTGGGTAGGTCATTTGATACCATCCTCTCATAGCAAATCACCTTGACTTCCAAATTGTAAGGTCATATCCTAAGAGCTTATGGTATCTCTTTGCTGCTCTGTAACCATGTTCTATTACGAAGATAATTCTTTCTGAACAATAAAAGTGAAATCTTTTCCCATAAAAACTCCTTAAAGTACATTAGAGTGAATTTTATCTCATTCTTTCTTAAAAATTGTGTCAGGTTACCCTGTAAATGTTATAAAAGCCCATAAAAGTATCAAATCTCTACACACTTATCTACCAAAGTGTCCTTTCTTTTTTATTATGCCCTTTAAAGGGAAGGGCGGTGTGGAATCAAGGCCTGAGTCACAGTGGAGGGTTTGGTGGGGGGCACAAGGGAAACATTTTGTGTATTTATCCCACACTAAGCTGGTCATTACTCACTTACTGTAATCTCAGTGGAACCACCCCACCTCTTCTGTATGGAACTTGCCAGGCTCACCAACCTCTGTGGGCAGGTATGAGAGGGAGAGAGCTAGAGGAGGCCCTTCATTGCTTCGGGTGAGAAAGAATCTGACAGAAGTGAACCAGTTTCTCCAATCCCAGTATTAAAGAATTCTTCCTTCCTTAGAAAAACACTTTTCAACTTTCTTACAGTTTGAATGTCCTGATGGGAAAGAACCTTAGTGTGCCTTCTAGTGGCCATCCATTTGGTAAAGTAGTGCTGCTAAATAAACATGCTTACGTTAGTCAAAATTGAAAAAGAGGAAACATTGTCAGTAACTGTGGTGACTGCATTTGCTGTGGTGGTTTTAATGGCCCGTTGTGACTTAATAGTGCTAATTTTAAAACTAACAAAGTCCGCAGCTTAAGAGAGTCCAGAGGCTTGATTCAGCATATATTTGGAGGATGTCTATGAGTTAAGGTCACAGTGGGATGGAAAAACGTCACTCTTGTCCACAGAGTTGGAAGTGTCTAATTGGTTCCAGCGAGGATATCGCCCTTTAGTTCTTTACGTAATTAACTTATTATAGGAAAGGAAATGGAGAGCTAAGAATTTGTTGGGAGCAGGAGAGAAACAGAACAAGAAACTAAACAGGAACGTTATCTGTGATTGTGGTGGCTACCAAGTAGCTGGGTCTGCCTCCCAGCCGGAGCAGTGACAACAATGGCTCCGTAATGACCTATTCATGCAGATAAATGTGTTTTCATCTGAATATTGGGATAAGCCCTCAATTTTGGGTGCAGTGCATGTCAACAGAGCTGGGAGGTCCCAGAACCACGTGCCTCTGAGCTCTTCCTACTTCCTTTCAACTGGCAAAGGTGGGGAGCTCCTGGGATCGCCTCTCTCTGTCAGAGAGCAGAGAGTAACACTCCAGGGTCCCTTGTAGATGTCTTCAAGTTGCAAGTAAGTACAATGAGTAACCAAAATGGTAAGTCTTTGTCAGACTTGAAGGGAAACAACAGCGCTTGGTGATGCTACGGGGAAGCTTAGTAAGAGTCCATTTCTAGACTTTTCAGTGAAGCGCTCATGATGCTAGGTGTGGCGCTTTTTTTCCAGCACGGGTTTAATGAAGCTAGTTGCCTATAGGATGACGAAGAAAGTCTTAATTGCCCAATATTTTGTGATGTTTCCTGTTCACGTGTTGAATCTTTCTTCTCTAACGTTCAAAACAATGAAAGGCTGAATCTGAACAGGCTCCGCCCACAGAGCCGAAAGCAGAGGAGCCCCCTGTCGTTGCTGTACCTGCTGTTGGGCTGGACTCTGGACTGGACACCCAGGCTGAGGAGCCAGTGGAGGGGGCAGTGGTGAGCACCGCCCCCCTCCCACCCTCCACCTGCCTCCCCTGCCACATCCCTGCACATCTCACGATCTCATTTCTCCCTCCTCATCCATGCTTCACTTGTGCTAAATCACTTCCTTGTCTGCCATGGCTCCCCAGGTTCAAATAGGCTTTGTGCCTTTGACAGTGAAACTTCGTTCTCTTTTATGTTTTTAAGAGGAAGATATCCAGAGATCTGATCTTAAGAACTAGAGAGAAATGTCACATAGCCATGGCTTGTTCTCAAAAAAGGATGCTTCCATTCTTTTCTGAGATGCTCCCCTTCATGGTAGGTAGGTTGTAGAACTCACAAATAACCAACCTTGTTACTGTTGTGCGCTACTTCTGATGCCTAGAGATGCACCTCCAGCGAGGGACCAAGCTGCAGGTGATAAACAGAAAGATCATAAATTTGTGGGTTATGTTTACATATTTATTTCTCATAATATTAGTTTGGTAGGTTGGTTAAGCCCTGACAGGGATTGAAATCCCATATTAAAATCATGGAATCTATAAAGATTCGTGTGTCGTACAACCATTTCCTCAAAATCATGTCTGATGTTGGCTCTTAAAACAAGGGAGACCTTGAGGATGTAGAGGGTGGGGGCCCTTTGTCTGCTTGGAAACCTGCTCTTACCCCATTCCATACAGCCATATACCTCACTGCATCACAAACTGGGATGAGCTCTATGTGGAACATGCATGTTGAATTGGATAGTGTAACATTCATGAAAGTGTAGGATAATACTAAGGAAACTTTAATTCAAAATACTCATGGAGAGGGGTACCTGGGTGGCTCAAGTCAGTTGGGTGTGTGACTCTTCATCTCAGCTCATGTCTTGATCTCAGGATTGTGAGTTCAAGCCCCACACTGGGCTCCATGCTGGGCATGGAACCTACTTAAAAAAAAAACAAAAAAAAAAACACAGAAAACAGCTCATGGAGAATGAAAAATAGTTTGTTGATGAAATACAGTTAAAATGTCTCCCAAGAATCTCAATCAGGTTACCATTTCCTATAGCCTTTATAGAAGCTGTACAAAGACAAGAAAACAGTCTCCCTCTCCCCCAAAATAACATTGACTAGATTAGGTAATAAGAAAAATTGAAGTTATATTTCTTGCTATTATTTGTTGTTGTTATTTTACCAGGAAGAGGGTAGGTCATCTGTCAAATCTAGAGTTTATTAATAGAGTAGAAAAATAAATAATAGGGCAAGATAGTGATGGGAAATACAGATTAAGAATAACTCAAAAAAAAAAAAAAAGATCATGTTTTCCATTTAGAGATACAGAGCTGGACCAAGTCCTGTAGGGAAAATAAGAAGTGTGTTCTGCTAGGTTAAGTCCCTCTTGGAAGTGCTGCTTGCATGGAGCATAGATTGGGGAATGCTGAGGCTCTAGGCTCCAGCATCTGCTTTTTCTCTCAGACTCAGTAGTGGTCTCCATACGTCTATGCAGAGGGGCCCTTTCATGTGGGGTCAAATTGTGATGTGTCCTCCCAACTTAGCTTTAAGAATATCTAAATAACATAGGAAGGGAAAGATAGATGTGATTTTGTTTTACTGCTGTTAAAATTTAAGAAAGAGATGTGATTTTTCAAAAAATGCAGATGATAAAAGGGAGTTAGAAAGATATTGATGAGTTTCAGATGTTGATTTAGAAATCGCTTCATTTCCAAAAAGTTCTTACCAGTTTCTATTTTGTATAGGAGCACAGACTTCATGCTCACCAGTGTGGTTTTTTGGTTTTTTTTTTGTTTGTTTTTTTTTTTTTTTTTTTTGGATTTTGTTTATTTGACGTAGAGAGAGAAATCACAAGTAGGCAGAGAGGCAGGCAGAGAGAGTGAGGGAAGCAGGCTCCCCGCTGAGCAGAGAGCCCGATGAGGGACTCAGTCCCAGGACCCTGAGATCATGACCTGAGCCGAAGGCAGAGGCCACCGAGGCACCCCCCTCACCAGTGTTTTTTTTTGTTTTTTGCTATTGTGACTCATCTAGCTTCTTTTTCTTCTTTTTTTAAATTTTTTATTTCTTTTCAGTGTAACAGTATTCGTTGTTTTTGCACCACACCCAGTGCTCCATGCAATCCGTGCCCTCTCTAATACCCACCACCTGGTTCCCCCAACCTCCCACCCCCCGCCCCTTCAAAACCCTCAGATTGTTTTTCAGAGTCCATAGTCTCTCATGGTTCACTTCCCCTTCTAATTGTTTTTAAACCACATTGGTTCCATGGCCCAGACTACTCAGTGTAAGGCTTCATGCCAAAACACCCATGGTTTTGAGCAAAGCTCTTTGATGTTGTGCAGTAGCTAGGAGGTGTGAAATAGACAAGCTCACATGTTACACACAGGGCTGGAATGTTGATCTCCCATGATTACCTCTCTGAGGGCCTTGGCCTCGTACCTTGCACACCTATCCTTATTTTAACAGACTTATATAAGTAGGTTTTGTTTTTTCAGACCCCAAACTTACTGGTTTTCCAGTGAACAATATAAATAGCTACTGGAGCGCCTGGGTGGCTCAGTGGGTTAAGCCTCTGCTTTCGGCTCAGGTCATGATCCCAGGGTCCTGGAATTGAGCCCCGCATTGGGCTCTCTGCTCCACGGAGAGCCTGCTTCCTCCTGTCTCTGCCTGCCTCTCTGCCAACTTGTAATCTCTGACTGTCAAATAAATAAATAAAATCTTTAAATAGTTACCAGTCATTATGTATCTACTATACCATACCTACTATAAAGATTTATAATCTTTTTAACCAAGAATGAACTTAAACATGTATTTTTTTTTAAAGTACGATTATGGGGCGCCTGGGTGGCTCAGAGGGTTAAGCCTCTGCCTTCAGCTCAAGTCATGATCCCAGGGTCCTGGGATCGAGCCTCGCATTGGGCTCTCTGCTCCACGGAGAGCCAGCTTCCTCCTATCTCTGCCTGCCTCTCTGCCTACTTGTGATCTCTGTCAAATAAATAAATAAAATCTTTAAATAGTTACTAATCATTATGTATCTACTATACCATACCTACTATAAAGATTTATAATCTTTTTAACCAAGAGTCAACTTAAACATGTATTTTTTTAAATGTACGATTATGGGCCGCCTGGGTGGCTCCAGAGGGTTAAGCCTCTGCCTTTGGCTCAGGTCATGATCTCAGGGTCCTAGGATTGAGCCCTGCATCGGGCTCTCTACTCAGCAAGGAGCCTGCTTCTCCCCGCCCCCTCTGCCTGCCTCTCTGCCTACTTGTGATCTCTCTCTGTCAAATAAATAAGTAAATAATTTTTAAAAAAATAATATGGTTACAGAGCCACCTGGGTGGCTCAGTTAGTTAAGGTTCTGCCTTGGGTTCAGGTCATGATCCCCAGGGTCCTGGGATGGAGCCCTGCATCAGCTCCCTGCTCAGCATGGAGTCTGCATCTCCCTTTCCCTCTGCCTGCTACTCCCCTTGCTTATGCAAGCTCTCTTGCTCTCTCTCTCTCTGCTAAATAAATAAATAAAATCTTTAAAACAAAAACAAAACAAAGTGTACAGTACAGCCATCAAGCATCACTAAAACCAGCTTCCCTAGTGTTGGGTAAGGAAATATTTGACAGCATTCTTCATTCTGAAAATACTTGTCTCCTAAAGCTTACAAGTGAACTTTAGAGAATCAAACAACCGGATTCCCTATGAAATGTAAGGCAATTTGGAGAGTCTTGTGAAGGATTCAGGTACCTGCTGACACCCAGAGGCTATGCAAAAACAGCAGGTACAAGCCACCTGTGATCTCTATCTGATAAATAAATTTAAAAAAAATACCATCCTATAGAATGTGTTTTTTTTTTATATTTAATTTCAGTGCAACAGAATTCATTGTTTATGCACCACACCCAGTGCTCCATGTAATACGTGCCCTCCATAATACCCATCACCAGGCTCCCCCATCCTCCCACCCCCCTACCCCTTCAAAACCCTCAGATTGTTTTTTCAGAGTCCATAGTCTCTCATGGTTCAAGATATGACTCCAAAGGCAAAGGAAACAAAAGCGAAAATGAACTCTTGGAACTTCATCAAGATAGAATGTATTTTTTTTTAAGATTTTATTTATTTATTTGACAGAGATCACAAGTAGGCAGAGAGGCAGGCAGAGGGAAAGGAGGAAGCACGCTCCCGGCTGAGCAGAGAGCCCGATGCGGGGCTCGATCCCAGGACCCTGGGATCATGACCTGAGTCGAAGGCAAAGGCTTAACCCACTGAGCCACCCAGCTGCCCCATATAGAATGTATTTTTGTTCTCCAGCATAGATTTATAGCTTCTTTCTTCTGGTCATAATAATCTAAGATAATATTAAGGTTATTTTTTCTAAAGAAAGGTCTCATTTGCTAGATGTGTGATATTTTGTTGTAAAGACACAAAAAAATCCACATTGTGTTCTGAGCATTAATAGGTTGGCTGTGGCTGTCATCAGTTAGGATTGGGTTGATGTGACCTTTTGAAGTCATCCTTTTTGCTGCCAAAATGTCACCACACAGTTATTATTTCGAGTCTTGACAATCCATTTTATATGAGGTGAAGTTTGTGGTGGTTTTGTTAAGGAAAAAAAAGAAGAAGAGGCAAATGTAATTTCAAAAACAGGGAATTTTAACAAAGAAACCTGGGGCTTTCAAGCAAAATAACTATTACATTTTTGTTGTTTTAGTTTTGCCCTACAGTACTAAATTGCACTTGTATATCTATAGGATGCATGAAGGAAGAAATGAGCACGTGCCTTCTATTCAAGCAGACAGAAATCTTCCTGGCAACATGAAGTTCATCTATGAACTGTGGTTTGCTATATATACATATATATCCACTGGTTTAAATTGGTCATGACAAGTCAACTGAAGTCTGGTGACGTTTTCAAAAAAAAAAAAGAGAAAAAAAAAATGCAGCGAAAACAAAAGTAGTCCCCAAATAATAGGCTAGTGTTTCATCTTCCAGGAATCTCCATCAATTCTAAAAACATCTTTATCTTGATCTTT